TGCTATGTTTTAAATAAAATGGTTGGAAGTCATGTAAAGGATGACCTGTTGGTACAAGGATTAGACTTGTGACTGTAGAGTCATGGGTTTACCCAATGCATATTTTCGAATATCGGTTGCGGATTCTCACATTATAAAATAATAATAATAATAATAATAAAAAAAGGGTTGAAAGTAAAATTTATGGAAATAATAAATAATTTAATATTCAACACTATATTTAATAGAAAAAATATATATTTCATTTGTCTAAGTGTATTATGTTACAGTTTTTGTTTTCGTTCATTTCACATCTTATATTATTATTTGAGCAAAAATATTGCAAACTTTAATCATATTTTATATTTTCAAATTTATATATATTTTTAATTTATTATACTTATTTATTGCCTTAATTTATTTATAGGTATTTTTATTAATATATTTTTAATTATTTATTAATTACATTTTTTATAATTTGTGTACCTACAGTAAATACGACATGACACCAAGAGAGTATTTAATATAAATTTATTTACGTACAATATCGACAATTTTAAAAATATTTATATTAACAAAGTTTTACTACTTCAACTCAAATGATAACCAATAAAAGTATCTTTGGTTCTCTTTACATGAAAAGTTTGGAAATTTTGAAACTTTTTTAATAATCGATTTTTTTTTTTTTTAATAATCGAAATTTAATTATTTTATAAATTTTTTATAAGATGGCAAAGTATTTAATAGATTTTTCTTTTTTTTTAAAAAAAAAAAATATTAATAAATATTAAATCATACAAAAAATTTAAAAATACTTCATCCGTTCTTGTTTTTATAAATAATCATATCACCGTAAAACTATCCCTATTTTTTCATTTTCATTATACAATTGTCACTACTGTTTACACTAATATACTCGTAAAGGCAAAAAAGTTTTTTATCCATACTTTTTACCAACTATCAATATCATATTCACTCCGTCCAAAACATCTTGTAATATTTCCTTTTCGGTATGTCCCAAACACCCTGCAACATTTCTAAAATAAAAAATAATTAATCTCTATTCTATACTTTATCCCCTCACATCGTCTAAATAAATATATATATATATATATTTATTTCCATCACGTCACATAATTTCTAAATTATCCTACTTAATACTACCCACTTAAAAATTCGTGCCAAAGCAAATGTTGCACCTTGTTTGGGACGGAGGGAATATCAATATTTCTTAGATCCCGTGTCAAACCCAATTAAAATTATATTTATGGGACGGAGGGAATATCAATATTTTTTAGATCCCGTGTCAAACCCAATTAAGATTATATTTATGGAACGGAGAAAATAATATATATATATATATATATATATATAAACAAAGCCTTATAACTAAGTAAATAAAAACTTGAAACAAAAAAACTCAAACCAAACAAATCCCAATCGATGGTTGATATGTACTTTCGTCACAGCCCAGAAATACAACAAATACAATGCACCTATCTATCATTAATTTTAATATATATATATATATTTAATTCCACAACCTTATCCTCAACTTTAAATATATATATATAAATAGAACATCAAAATTAATTAAATAGAGCATCAAATTAATTGCATTGTTGCAAGGCCTAGGAACGTGCTATACGGCTATTCCCTAAATATCAATATTTCGCAATTAAATTACTCCATCCGTCTCACATGCTATGTTCATGTTGTCGAATCTGTCCATCCCATATACCATATCATTTTTCTTTTTTGGAAAATAATAGAACTTCCTGAACCGGATAGTGTGACGTTACACACTTTAATCTCATTTTAAACTTTTTAATTTTTTTTAAAAATTTTAATTAAACTAATTAGTTATCTTAATCTTAATTTATAATTATTTATATTATAGAATAATTATTTTTACTAATACATTTTTAATTATTTACTAATTACATCTCTTTTAAAATATTGTGTCTACATTATAACAGACACGGTAAATGAGACGGAGAGAGAGTATTAATTAATAGTAGCAATCATTGCACTTGCATTATTTTAATTAATTTCTTTTTTTTTTGCCTATCAAGTTACTGACAAGCAGCTTTTTATTATTATTACTATTAAACAGAATAATGTTTTTGAATAATCGTACATATATAAATATATTAAAATTTCGAATATTGGAAAGGAATTTTGTATACTATTTAAATTTTCATTAAAGTGTTGATTCCAATACTATTTAAATTTGCTGAAAAAATATTATACACTTGTGCAAGATGCACCTTTTAATAATAATAATAATAATAATAATAATAATAATAATAATAATAATAATAATAATCTGTGGGCAAAAAGTGGCTTTTAAGACAAACAATGGGACACTTGAGGCAGGCGTAATAATATTTGAAACCTTCTTATTTGTATTAAAAATATTCAATAATTTATTGAGTCAAAAAATAGGATTCGTTTACACAAATCACTTAAACTCACTAGGTATAATTCCTTTTTTTTTTTTGTTTTTTTATTAAAAAAAATCAGATTATTATTATTATTTTTTTATTAAAACATCAAATTAAATATCAAATTTTTTATTTTTACTTTTTTAAACTTTTGAAAATTTCAAATTTATCCAAAAACCTCATTCTATTGAATATATTGAATATAAATAGGCTGTAATTAAAGCAATCTCCAACCCATCGACTTCATTTGTCCCGTTTTAACTCCAAATATGCAGCTGCTACAGTAATTTTATTTCAACCATAACTTCATTTTTCACTATTCTTCTTCAATTATTCAATTTTTCCTATTATTTTAAAAAACTTTTTATTTCTATAATTTAAACTAAAATTTTTAAAAAAATTTAAAAATAAAAAATAAATTTAAAAATCAAATTTATAATTTTAAAAATTAAACAAAAATAAAAATAAAAATAAAACACACACCAAAAATAGCGTTTTCTACAGTTGCAATTGGCGTTGGATTGGAGTTTGGTGGCGGCAGAAATGGAGTTCAGACGTCATAATTGGGGTGTGGTTGGAGATGCTCTAATAGCAATAATATAATCAACAGTTCGATATACTGTAAAATGATATTTAAGACGTTTTTCTTTCGATGAGTTTGAGAAAATTTTGGTTTAAGTTTGGTATTAAAATAATATACGATGAGATGTTTGTGAAGGAAAAAAAATTTATTTTTCAAAAAACGCATAGTCCAAATAACAAAAATATTATATTTTTAGTGGCTAGAAGTACACCTACTTCCTCTGTCCCGCAATGAAGTTGCCATTTAATTTTTGCGTCATTATATTTAACATTAAAAATATTTTTATATTTAAATAATTTTACCGACAAATATTATTGTATATATATATATTATAATAAACTAATAAATATATTTTTGTTTTCTTTTCTTAATTTGTACTCTATATTAATATTAGAATTAATATTCAAAAATCAAATTACAATAAACCTTTTGGGGAAGGGATGGAGTATTATATTTGGACATTTCTCGTCCATTGATTTTATATATTTGGACATCAATTTCGATGAATACCTCCGTCAGTGAATGGTCAATAATGCCCATCATTTATTGTCAAAATTAATAATGATAATAATAAATTAATAATTTCCTTAAGAATTTGTAAGAAAACAAGATAAGATCCTCTCAATTGATTAAGGGTTTGCTTGGGCTTTTTATATTGGATTTCGATTTTAATGGTAAAATTATCAATTTGAATAGTTATACTAATTGATATAAATATAAACTTACCTGATATTTTAAATCTAAATTATTTTTAATATAAAATAAAAAATAAATATTTAATTTGATATTTTTAAATTTTTTTCTTGCAAATAGTAGAAATAATTGCAAATAGTAGAAATAAAAATAAATTATCAAAACAAATATATATACTCAAGTATTTTTTTTAATAATAAATTAAAAAATAATAATATTTAATTAATTATTGAAAGTATGTGAAATAATTTTAATATTATTATTTTTGTACTTTATCAATAAATCAAGTATTTATGCAATGATATATTTATAATTTATATAAAAAAAAAAATTTATTAGTGTGCAATCATTTTTATTATAATAAAAAAATTACTTTTATTTGAGATAAATAAAAATAATAAAAAAATACATTTAAAGAAACCGTGAAAGTATTAAAGTATATATATATATACACGAGTTCAATCTACACCACCGGACCAACTCTTAACTTACAATCCCATGATATAATTACAGTAAGGATGTGTTTGTTTGGGAGTTTGGATTTTGAATTTTGAATTTGGATTTGAATAGTAAAAAATTTTTGAATTTGAATAATTGTATGATGTGATATAATTAGGTGTTGATGTGATGTTTTGAATGTAAAATTAATTTTTAGCATAATATAAAAAATAAAAAAAATAGGTGTTTATTTTGATGATTTTTGGGGAAAAAAAAAATAAATAGTGAATTTAAAATTTAATCCCCAAACAAACTCACCCTAAAATAACTTCCAATAATAGTTTCTAACATTAGATAACTACAAGTGATTTCAAGTGAATAACATTAAATAGAACAATTTAAAAATTAGTTGATATTGTGGTAGAAAAAGTGTATATTTATTTACTCCCCGATAAGATATGCGTATTACTTTAGATACAAGAATTTAGGTAAAATATAATTAATAAATAATTAAAAAGTATATTAAAAAAATTAGTTATTATTTAATAAAAAAAATTATAGATGGACTATATTTTTATTTGAATAATGTATAAAGATTAAGTATAATTAATTATTTTTTATTTTAGAAATATTATAGTGGTTCGAGACATCAAGAAAATATTAGATAATATTTAGGAGGAGGAAGAAATATTAACTTGTAGGCTGTAAGATCTATGGACAATTTTGCGCGATCCAAGAGTTTTATTTTTATAATGAGCCGTGGCCCAATTTGTAAATAATATATTTGGGCCAAACGAGCCCAAAAACAATGGGCTGAAGGCAGATATAGAAAGCCCAAACATTTTATTTTGTTCCCAAAATGAAACCCTCTCGGCAGAAAATTCCGTTCGAAGAGCGCCACTGGCTCGACAGCTGATATTCGATCACCGGAAAATACAGCAGAGCTGCGGCATCCATGGCGGAGGGGGCGCCGACCAGCACGGAGGTTTCTCCCAACCAGACAATTTACATCAATAACCTCAACGAGAAAATCAAGCTCGACGGTATATTCACTCGCTTTCTAATTGTTTCATGAATGTTTGCGAGGGTTTGGTACTTATGGTGTAGTCTCATTTAGGAGATGCGATTCATTCTCAGCGCCTGTTTTTGTTTTCTTATGTAAACAGAACTGAAGAAATCGCTCAACGCGGTGTTTTCTCAATTCGGAAAAATTTTGGAGGTTTTAGCCTTCAAAACCCTAAAGCACAAGGGGCAAGCGTGGGTAATCTTCGAAGAGGTCTCTTCCGCCTCCAATGCGCTCCGTCAGATGCAAGGATTTCCATTCTACGATAAGCCTATGGTATGTATTTATCCATTTCGCTAGCGTCTACATATTTTCTGCACCACAAAATCGACTGAATTCGTTTTTGTAACCGTAAAATTTGGTCTCCGAATCTGGAAATTAGGGTCAGGTTGTTTGAACTCAAAATCTATATGCTAATTGAATTGAATTGAATTGAATTATGCTAAGGCAGTAATTTTGATCTGCATTGTGTTGAATTGCAAGCAAATCATCAAATATAGTTTAGGGGTTTAGGTTTACCTCAAAGCAAATGTAGTTCAGATGATGCCGGATTGAAGTATATTGATTAACGTACGAAGCCTTCATATTCAGAACTAAGTTAATGGCTGAACTGAAAATAGATTGCAATCAAAATAAGGTGTAAAGGTAAAAGGCTTTAGCCCCCAACTAATACATATATATATATATATATATAATGGGTTAACTTCGGGATCCTGGCTTTACTTCCATTTTTTGATTGATGGAGTGGGATGGTAATATCTTTCTGTGTTTGTTGTAGAGCTTGTTGTAGAGCTGACAATGAGTCGTTTCGTGTTGGGTTTGTATCAGGTTGGATATTTTAAATGAGTTAAATCACTCAACCCTAACCCGATCAATTTATTATCACGTTGGGTTTGTGTTGACCCATTTATTATCGTGATGGGTTCGTGTTGACCCGTATACATAATTACGTCGAAATTCTTAACTCAATTTCAATTATTGTTTGTCGTGTTTATCATGTTATGATAGTTTTTATTGATTTTAGTGTAATGTGTACAATGAATTAGGTTGAATTAATTTTACATATATAATAAATATATTAATTAATACTACTCTAATCGAGTTGTTGTATCGGATTCAAGTTGAGAGCCTCAATTATTTCGTGTCGGGTTTGTGTCAATCGTATACATAATCAGATTGAAATCATTGATCAAAATCCAATTATTTCATGTCAGATTGTCGTGAGTGTCAGTCTTTCAGCTCTAGTCTGCTGAGTCTTATGTTATGGCTTGGAATATTGCATTTTTATTTTTACTTTTAACTTTTGTTCAGGTAAAGTCCGGTACCTTATTTATGTAGAGCTTGTATTTTTTGGTTTAAATAAAAAGTTATTGATGCTTATTGCAGAGAATACAATACGCAAAAACGAAATCTGATATCATAGCAAAAGCAGATGGTACATTTGTTCCTCGAGAGAAACGGAAGAAACATGAAGACAGAGGTATCGGATCCTTTTTTACTGTATTGTGATGATTATAATTCTAACTTAGCCAATAGTTAAGACAGTTTTTCATATAGTTTTATTGACACACACACAAACTCATGTTGGTTTCTTCTTTCGGTAGCTTTGTATCAATATGTCTGTAAACTTTTTGTGTCCGAACCATTGTATTCCAGATATAAAGGAACTAAAAATATGTTCATATTTACGGCACTTACTGTTCTTGATACTCTTTGATCATCTCTATTCCTCTGCGTGCGATATAACAGGTAGAAAGAAAAAGGATCAACATGACGGCATTCAAGCAGCAGCGGGTGTGAATCCTGCATATGCTGGCGCATACGGTGCAGCTCCTCCTGTAAGATTTCTTGCTCATTTCAACAATTGTTTCAAAAAACCGACCTATAACCTGTGTTTCTTTTCATTTCATATGTTGCAGCTATCTCAGTTACCGCATATGGGAGCTAGAGCTGTGCCAGAAGCTCCCGCCCCACCGAACAACATCCTATTCGTCCAGAACCTTCCTCACCAAACAACTTCTATGATGCTGCAAATGCTTTTCAGCCAGTGCCCGGGATTCAAGGAAGTTAGGATGGTGGAAGCCAAGCCGGGAATTGCTTTTGTTGAGTACGAAAATGAGATGCAGTCCACTGTCGCGATGCAGGGTCTTCAGGGATTCAAGATTACCGATGATCATCCTATGCTGATCTCTTATGCCAAGAAGTAAGTCGAGTTTTAACCCCACGCTCCACTACTCAGCGGAGAACTACTCGAAACTTTTACCACCCGGGCCGGGATCCAGTTTGTGCCAGTGTAATATGTAGTCATAGAAACCAGATTCGACATTGTTCTTTCTGTAAAACTGCTTTGGCGACTGATTACTGGCAGCTTGCCTAATTGCTTGATATTTCTTTCATTTATCGACTCTACTCAATAGCATAATTCCCAAAACTTTTCCTGTCTCAGTCAAATAAAAACACATTTGATCGATCGATCTCTTCTCCTAGAGTGACTTATTCGTGGTTTTTTATATGTCAAGAACACAGAATAAGCACAATCTGATAGGAAGTTTTTAGATCAGGATAGTACCTTTGGAAGAGTTTCGACTCGGGTTGGTTGATATTCACGTTGCAGGCTATTGCAATATAGCTGAATCCATCTGGCTGCCTGCATGAAATTTACAGCATGCCTCTCAACTTCAACTGGTAAAAGAATTGGTGTGGACAGATAGATAGATTCTAATAATAAAATCTCTTTGCTGGTTGATATTTCTAAGATTTGGGATGTAAAGGCAGTGTTTGTTTTGAAGATTTTAGTCATATTGTAGCAGCTAATGGGTGTTTAATAGAATTTGCTTGTATGGGAGTGATGGCAGTTACCCTAGAAATTCAAACACTGCTACTCCTACCATATATCGTTTCATGTTCTTCCATTTCTGAGTTCACTGGACTCAGTGTCAGCTTTAATTTGTACACGAACAAACCATGGTTTCTTAAGATGAAGTTCAAAGTAATGCCAGCTCGCAATTTCATTTTTAAATTTTAACAAGGGAATAATTTGCACATTTTCTATCCTACCATCTTTAGCCTCAAAATTTATTTCTACCTGCAATAGAAAAAATGAAGTGCTTAAAAGTAGAGAGTAATAGGCATAGCGTGCGTACTCACTCTGATGGGAAGGATGATGAGATCGATCAATCGGTTGAAGTTGCTTGCAGGCAAAGCAAGGCAAGGCAACAATGCAGCCTCCAAGGCCATCACAGATCAAATCCTCCATTGAAGCAGGAGAAGACTGCAGTTGTGGATCAGAGACATGCTGAGGCTCATGCTGTTGCTTTTCAGCCATGAGAATGTTCAAAGCTTAACTATTCAGACTTCAGACCTAAAAAATGCAGAAACAACATGAAGCAGTCCAGCATAATCAACGGCTGGATATCGTTATCGCAAAATCCTAAACTACATGTGTATGAGTAGTAATCGAATACGAACTCCAAACCAGCAATTACATTCATGGCGCAACTAACTATAATCTTTCAAATTCAAATACATAAACGTATTAAGAGTAGAGAGGAGATCTGATACCCGAAGAGAATCACCACTAAAACATGATTAGCCGACTTCGCTGCACACATCGGTATCGATGAGTCAAAACCAGAACGGAGGATCGGTGTAACTCAGGTCGATTTTAACCAATTTATACCGCTGAAACGGAAAAAAATTCCGCTATATCTTTTCGAATCATCACCTAGAAGAAATTGAAAGATAGGCGTCAATATTTCTGTAGGTCTTTAAAAATTTTCTCATCATATCATATACTCATACTCATACTCACATTTCCTTTCAGCCATAACAGAAGGAGCAAACTTTACAGTCAGCCTGCTGAAGAGTGACGAAGATGAAAGAATTGGGCCACTTTATTATTGTTGGGCTCTGGAGAGATCCAAGCCAGCCCATTCATAATTTATTTAATTAGGTTTTAATTTTAATTTATCAATTTTTTAGATTATTTTGTTTCTTTGAAATTGACTCAATATTTAGTTTAAGATAAATTCATATCCATTGAATACCGTCCAAAATTTTGGATTTAATTTTTGTTCGATTTAATTTCAATTTTTGTTATATTTCTTTAACCGAACCGAATATTTTAATTATATTCGATTTGATTTACAATTCGATGATTCAAAATATTTGCAAATACTGCAGATATTTTTCAAATTTTTTGGCTCGAATACAATTCGTAGCTTGAGTATTTATTCGTTCAGTTTGAATGCCAAACAAATGCATATTTACAAATACCTTAACCGTGCACAACTCTGTATGAAAATACATACATACACAATTACATACATACAGACAGACATTAATAGTAATTCACAAGTCACAGCTCATACAACAATCGATTGTAGATGTAACAGCATTAATCAGTTATAATAGTCATACCAAAAAAAAGCATCTATTGCTGGAAGAAGTGAGAATTGAAGTTTATTTGTAGTTGAAATTGACTTGGACCAAATATCGCATTCTAATCTGCTCCACGTTGTAGACGATGTATTCATTGTAAAGCAAAGAACCCTGCTTTCAAGTTTTAAAAACACTACCCAATTCAGTATATACATAAACATATGCATTCAAATAACTAACAAGGATCCGTAAGAAGTTTTAAAATTTTGGAAAATATCTAGAATTATACTCATGTCCCATATCTATATATCCATTTGTTTTTTTTTTTATTTTAGAAATATTAGTATTATATTGAGATAAAAGAGAAATAAAGATAGAAAAACTAAATTAACCTATTGTATGATATAAAAACAATAGGTAGATGGTACAATTACTTTTTTTTTTTAAAAAAAATACTTTGTTATGGGAAAGAGGGAGTAATAAATTAGAATATTTGATACTCCCTCAGTTCCAAAATATTTTTTTCTGTCCCACAAAACAATAATCTATTTCCATAAATAATCATATCACTATAAAATTATCCCTTACTTTTTCATTTTTATTACACTTTTTACACTAATTCACTCGGAAGAGCAAAAAAATCTTTTACTCATATTTTTATACCCAACTCAACTAAGACTATAGTTCTCGAGGAGAAAGTATAATATTTCATTAGATGGAAAAAAAAAACTATTGTTACTAAAAAATAAAAAAGTTCTAAAATGTGTGAACAAATACTCTCTCCGTCGCAAATAACAATATTTTTATTTGGTATGCCCAAACACCATACAACATTTTTAAAATAAGAAACAATTAAATATAATTAAATTCCTACTTGACATTTTATTCTATCACATCATTCAAATAATTTTGTACTTTTTACTCTCATTATATTATTACTTAATTACGGAATTACTCTATTTAATACTATTCACCCAAATTCTCAAAAATAAATGTTGCATCATATTTGGGACGGAGAGAATACTAAATGTTGGTGTCTCCGAAACAAAATTGAAATAACATTACCTTGGCACCCCCAGCTTGGTGCTGCTGCTCTTTTGGTTTTCCTAAGGGAACCACCACGCCGTCGTCCAGTGTCTTCGCCTCCGATGGGTCTGGTGCTGTTGCGCCCACTCCTTTTGTGCTGCGTAGAAAAAATGGTGTTTTATTTATAGTTTTCGACTGGCAAAGCTGAAGCACAAGCAGAGTAAAGTGATGTCAATCGAACCTGAGCTTCCCGGTCGGTAACTTATCCGCGTCATAATTAGCAGATAGAAGCTCAGCCATGTCCCCCAAGGCTACCTGCAAATCTTGCCATAATGCATTCTCAAAAGGTGATAATTTATGCACATTCAATCAAGTCGAGGTCCTGTGAGGCAAAATGAAAAGGAACCACGACAGAATGTATGAAGGAAACAGACGATAAACCACCTCACATAAAAGCAGCACCCCGGCAGATGCAGATCTAGTCGAACAGCAATAATTAGCACTTTTTGAGAACATATCAGCAAAATATACGCCTTTGCCGAACATGTAGCCAGTTACAGGTGCTTCCGGAGGAGCAATGCGCAGCCCTGTCGTTTATTACAATTTTTAGATATACTACATGGATAGGTTTCATGCAGAGGACAATTAGAGAAACCATGAAAGATAACCTTGGGACAGAATTCCAGTCCAGTTCGTGAGACGGGAACCGTGCCACAGTAGCATACGGTTTTTTGTACCTGAAAACTGGTGTCAAAGAGAAGAGGAACTCATCACGTAATATAATAATTCAGTCTCAGTGGATAGGAAAAGTTCACCCATTATGCACTCCTTACTTTCTCAAACCGCTCGGCTTCATTCTCCCTCGACACCCGAAATAACTGGACGATATCAACTTTATAACTTGAATGTGTCTTTGCGTGAGTGTTCTTGGTGTACTTCTCAATCTGAGACAATACATTCAAGATTTTGTTTGATAAACAGGCTATATTGAATGAACAAACCTTTTTTTCTTTTTTCGAGAGATATAACAACATAGCATCTATGATTTTCGAATAGTCAGTGACACATTAACAGTAATAAAGAATGTTTATTTGAAATATTAAACTGCCAATGAAGCATGGGATCATAGAAGAGAAAGAACACCTACCATACGAAATTCCTCAGAATTAACTTCGATTGGGGTGAGCTCACAATGAAGCCGTGAGTATTGAGAATACAACGGATCCTACAAATCAGCAGATACATCAAAATATGTAAATAGTGTAGCAAAATATTAAGCTAACATACACAATTAATATACAGCTGAACAGCATAAAGAAATGACTAGATAATAAAACATATAACAGTACCACCAGTTTTATATCTCTTAACCTGAGGCAGCAGTATAGATTGTAATGAGTGATACAATAGTTACTTTTGCCTATTGCAAAAAAAATAAAAAATAAATAAAAATTAGGCCTAGCGAATTTGAAGCAGCGAAACTAGATACAACATACCTCCAGATCATTGTCATCCTCAAGCAACTTCATTGCAACCTCAATTTCACCCAGTGCTTCAACCTATATAAACATATTAGTTTGTCAAGATGCAACAACTAAAAACAGGGGTATACCTTAAAAATAAAAGTGGCATAAGGGTCTGATTGGTTGGCATTTCTTAGCCCGTTGGCGCTATGCTTTCAATTATTTTTCTAAAATATTACATCATATGGAACCCACTCAAAATCTATTAAATATTTTCTATTTATATCTCTCTTTATAAACAAACTCCCTATTTATTTGGAACTTCCAACCCAACTTTCAACTCAAAAACTCAACCGCTAACCAATGCACCCTTAGTTGTTGCACACAATACATCTAGAACAGCAAGAGGATTAATAGAGAGGCGAATCACCATTTCTAGTTTGCTCTTCAGCTTTTGAGGGGTGTCAATAGTGAACAGACCTGTTATTATACACAAAGACACAAACATATTTGTAAGTCCAACCAATGACTTAGTTGGTATAATATGAAAAAAAAAAAAGGAATTAAACCAGTCGAAAAACACTTCATTGATGGAAGAAACCTCTAAGGCTCATAGGGATAACTCACTTGTTTTTTTAAATCCAAAGTCATGGGGAATTACAGTGTAAAATTCTCTGCAAGTTAAGCAGTATACCAATTACATGATTTTAATTTAATATTCAAACAAATTTCTGGAACAAAATTTGAATTGAAGAGAGAAATAATTACCCGCTCAATTGCTCGAGTGTCTTCCTATCAGCTTGACTAATCACATCAGAAATTCTTTTCAAAACATCATAGCCCTATACAGATTCAAAGGAATGGGGTAAGAAAGATGTCATTGACACAGCCAACAAAGGGAGTTACTTGTGTATTGAATTCTTGATTTATATTTCCAGGAGCAGCAATAATGGGGTATGTAAAATGGATTCCACATATTAAGCTTCGGTTTGATTCTCAAATAGTTACAAATGATGCTAAAAATGGTTAAATTTGCAATAGGATAAGGTTTTATATGCAGGCTAAAACTAAAAAGAGAACAAATTGAAAATGCTTTTTTTTTTCTCAAATAGTTACAAATGATATCGACATGTTTACATTTGCAACATGGTAAGGTTTTATATGCAAGATGAAGCTAAGAGAACAAATTGGAAATAGAGCAAGATAAATGATGTTAGATAAAGAAATCTTAGTAATATCTATCTCTCACCTTCAAAATTGTTGACTTGCTCAATTTACCCAATGGTAGTTTTTCAGCATTATAACCTGTAAAATAAAATAAAAACTTTTATGATGAAAATGATAGACAGCCATGACATCTCCCGAATGCAGAAAAGATTTTGAATCACACTACTACACATTTTTGAGGTACGCAGCAGTTTATACAAATACCGTCTGCAGTCAAAAAACCGACGCAAGCAGGTGCCAAACCACCTTGGAATGGAAACTTCAAGCTCGAATTTGGTATAACTTTATTCTACTAAAATTTAAGGAAGATGACCAAAATAAATGCAGACTGGCAAGGGTAGAGAGTGAGTACAAGACATAATTAAATAACAAATACTAACCTATTTCCATCATTTGTTGCTGCATCATGCTCATATTGCAAATAAGAGATATGAATTTTGCGATTCGAGCTTCCAGCCTTGATTCCTGGGGTTCTTTTGGCACTTTAGATTCACACTTTTCTTTGACCTACAGATGAGTAACATTTAGAACCCATAATTCTAGAATAACAATTTAAGCATTGCAAATTTTCAATGGACATGATATATAAACTATAATATATGCACCAGTCAATTGAAAACCAATTTCATGTGTTTTCTTCAAACTATGTGTGCCGCAGTGTTGGTGCATGCTTCAGCTAAGATGGATTAGAGATGATAGGCTATTTCTTAACAAAGAAGCACGAACACAAAGCTCAGGTTTAGCACCATACCGATTGTGCAGTTTTGGTGTCACTATAATCCATCTCTAACCAAGTATAGCACCGTGGGCGACTAACAAAATTTTTTCTGTTGGTCCAGCTATTCCTAGTTTTGTCAACAAACTTTTTCTCAAATTCTGTTATTGCAGCTTGTTGTGAGGTGTAGGGCCCATTCAATTTGTCTTGACCCTTCACACCAACTCGACCCCATCTGAAGTAGACCATGAATTTGCTACCATCATCAGATTCTGCAATTAAAAGTTTCATTACCATGTAAGCAGAATTCAGGCTAGGAACCTTGATTTGTTTTCTCAGCACAGAAGATGATATGACAAATGTGTTCAGTAGAACTCTCAGATACCACCACTATATGGACTCGATAATTTAAAGAACGGGAATGGAGATGTGACCTAGAACTTGAAGGACAAAAAACTTGTTATTGTTCTCCCCAACATTTGTTTGATTCAACATGGCATCATAAATTTCATCACCCTGCATGATAATTGAAAAGCAATAGCAATTCCAATACAGGTTCTCCCTTTGCCTTAACTGCTTCCTAAAGAGCAAAATATCAAATAACTAACCACTTGCAGAACATGATACTGTCCTTTAACATGGTCTGGCAGCCATTGGTCCAGAACAGCAGAACCTTTCATGGTAGCGGTAACAATTTTCTCCTGCTTTTCATCTTTCACAGATGCATCTTTCCACAACAACAGCAGAGATTCATGTCAGGTGACAATGCAATAAAAAAGGTATGAGATGCGGACATGATTATATATAATATCCATGAACTTGTTAATGTCACCTATCTTACTATACTCAACCTAAACATTTGTTATAATTTCTTTTAAATGGAATTAACAATTCCAAATGGGCATTTTTCCCAGTGATACAATATACTAAAACACAATGCGTGGAACAAATCATTTCTCCTTAACTGAGTGTATTACCTGACCCAAGATTGCTTGAAACCGTGTTACTGTCAGCGCAAAGTCTCTCCAGAAGCTCCTTCTTTGTGCCAGTTGATGAAATTCCTCTGCTAGCAGCTTCTTCTCGAAGCTGCTTTACGTTCATTGATTGCAACTGATCGGTTGTTTTCTTGACTGCTGGACTGGAATCAGCTTCGTCCTTGCCATCATTATTAACTGTTTAATAACAATCTATGAGCAACGTATAACGTATTGCAAGAGGCCATTCCTAAATTTTCATTGCAACATTGACATCAGAACTTTTAGATGTATCTACATACTAGACAGTGATAGTTGACCAAAAATTAGGTCGACTGGAGTGCACTACGGAATAAAATTTCAGTCCCGTGAATTAGCATAATCTGTAATATTGTGTCCCAGCGGCATGTGTTCTACAGATTCTCTATCAACTAAGACTTAGTTACCTTGATCATTGCTTGCAATGTTGTTCTCATCAGCACAAAGCCTCTCCAGGAGCTCTTTCTTCGTTCCAGCAGCAGAAACTCGGCGAATCGAGGCCTCCTCACGAAGCTGCGTCAAATTCATGCTTCGCAACTCGTCAACTGTTTTGATTTTCCGCCGGGATTCTGAATCGTCATTGTCAGCGTCAGAATGATCCCTCTGCCTCTTACGACTAGCTCTCGAATCGCCGTTGGAATCCCCCGAGTTCCTTCTCTCATCTTCAAGAGCCTCTTCAAGCCTCCGAAGCTGCCAAAATCAATCGTTCAAAAAAAAAAACACTCAACTATCACAAAATCACGAAGCGAGGGAGAGTATCAACCAAAACAGACTTGACTCCGGCGGTGCTAAGACCACGTTGAGACAGCTGAGCGCGGATTTCGTCAACTCTGAGGCCGTTGGTCGCCATGAATAAACTCTCTCACTGGAGCTGAGAAGAGAAGTAGGACTATATCAAACAATATGAGCATTTAAATACAAGTTGAAAACAGCAAGGAGCTTCCGGGAGAAGATTGACAGGCAGATAGAGACATAGTCAAACCTCGCGGGCCTGTGTGTGCACACCACGACCTTCTTCCTTCGTACAGTCTATAAAATGGAGCACCATTTTCAATTTGAACAATACTGGATTGGATCAACCTTCCAATGGGCTAATCCAACGAGCGAGAAAGGATGATGCTTCAAGAGTCCAACTATTGCCAGAGCCCCTCCTCCTTTCCTGCGCAGCCCCTTTTCTCCTTGACCCAAATAAACAAAACGCAGGGCCGGCTGATGCCGACATGTCATCGCACATATATAAATGGAAGAACAATCCCTTTTGTGAGTACTGTCCAAAATAGTTCCGCTGGATTTGAATTGTTGGCTGATGCTAAAGTAACCTTCGACAAGCTGCTGAAATGGGTAGTTGGACTGATCTCCCATCCATATCCAGTTCACCAACCCCACCCAACAATCAATAGCTGCCAATAAGAAAATATTTCACGAGGAATACGACCGAGTCTCAGCAAGCACAGGAATATTGCCACCAACCTCCTCCTCCTTCCATCACCGAGAATGGCTTCCATGGCGGAAACCCGTGCAGGATCCCAGCAGCAGGATGAAACCCACACTCAAAAGCCACTTCCTCTCATCCCAACTGCTTCAATATCCCTCTCAATCTCCAGTCTCACTCTCCTCCCATCCAAAAACCTCGCCGCCGCCGCCAATCCCCCGCCGAACGAAGTCAAGATCCCTTCCCAAATCGCCTCTCTTGCCGGATTTTCTCTTTCCCTGGCCAAAAAAGCCTCGCGCAAATCCGCCGCTTCCGCTAACCCGCTGCAGAATTCGCTCACAGTTACCCCTCTCCGCCCGTCCAACCCTTCCTCCGCCGCCGCCCTCCGGCGCGCCTCCGTCGTCTGGTTCCGGAACGACCTCCGCATCCACGACAATGAATGCCTCACCGCCGCCAACAATGAATCTCTCTCCGTCCTCCCCGTCTACTGCTTCGACCCCAGAGACTACGGAAAATCCTCCTCCGGCTTCAACAAAACGGGGCCGTACCGCGCCAAATTCGTGATCGAATCCGTCTCCGATCTGCGCCGTAGCCTGCAGGCCCGAGGCTCGGATCTTGTGGTTCGAATTGGTAAGCCGGAAACCGTGCTGCCGGAATTGGTCAAAGCCGTCGGCGCAGACGCCGTGTACGTCCACAGAGAAGTCTCCAACGACGAAGTGAAGGCGGAGGAGAAGATCGCGGCGGCGATGGAGGATGAAGGAGTGGAGATGAAGTACTGCTGGGGAAGCACATTGTACCACCTGGAGGACTTACCGTTCGACCTGGAGAAAATGCCGACCAACTATGGCGGATTCAAGGACAGCGTGAAGAACCTCCCTGTGAGGAAGACGATTGAAGCACTGGATAGATTGAAGAATCTGCCTAAACGAGGCGGTATCGAGCCTGGAGAGATTCCATCACTGCTGGATTTAGGGCTCAATCCCAATGATCAGGTAAGAAGCCAACAACAACATAATGATGGACCTCTCATTGTTTGCTTTGATTCTGAATCCAAAACACTGTCTGCTGCAGGATGGAAGAACACCTGCCATTGCCAATGCTTCAACAGCAGGAGGAGAGACAGCAGCCGTACAGAGATTGAAAGCTTTTGCCCTTGATTGCAAGGCAGAACCAAACAATGGAGTCAAGGGAGGAGCCAACGACACCATATTCGGGGCAAATTTTTCGTGCAAAGTGTCGCCATGGCTCGCCCTCGGGTGCATTTCTCCGCGCTTCATGTTTGATGAGCTCAAGAAGTCATCTTCTACGTAAGCCCATATCTTTACCTTACCATCTGTTCTTATTTCTCGACCATAATTGAACACACTGTGTGTTGCAGTGGCGGAGCTGGGAAGAGCGAGCCGGCGACGAGCTGGTTCATGTCTGAACTCTTGTGGAGGGATTTTTTCAGGTGAGTCTGTATTATCCAATTCCAGCATTTTGATTCAATGACCCGCTTTGATTGGCATCCATTGTTTATGAAGAATATCTGCCCTCTTGTATGTTAGATTCATCACCAAGAAATACAGTTCAGCCAAGCAGGAGAATCCTGCACCAGTTACTGCTTCCATGGGCGCCTGTGCCTGAGAAAGAATCTTTTCAAAGAAAAAGGTTTACACTTTACAACAAAACAGGCATATCTATCTCCTCTTTGAATCTTGTTGCCTCACGACGATGTTAGTAGTTAGTTGAATGTCACCAATTCACCATTCAAACAATTTGTCATGAATACTGCGGCCAATTGCCATTGATTTATGTGTTGAATTTCATTAACAGAAAAGACTCAGATAAATCTATATGCATTTTAATAGAATGAGCTATTGCCCAACTGTAGTGTATATATGCTTCTTACCTACATTTATATAATGCCGGAAACTCGTAAAGAAGACAGTACAACAAAAATAAGCCATAGTATTATGAAATAGACAGAAGTTACCCATGCCCAGAGCTTGGGACCTCCCAACTCTGCGCCCAAGGTAAGACGCCGGAATACCAAAACACCAATGCATCCGACAGACGTAGCGAAGAACACAAGTAAGGGGAAGCTCAGCCCGCCCGAATCTTCTATCCTCAACGGCTCCTTGTATGCAATGTAGTTGTAAAGTGTGTCAATTAGCCATGGCATCCCAATCCCTACGTAAATATTCACTGAATTGCTGCAGAAAGATCATCGATGGTTAAGCACAAAGAAACCTGAAATTTTATGAAGACAGAGTAGTTTGGTACATAACAAGGGAAGAACTAAGAACCTGCAAGTGATGTTAGCTATGGCAGAGTCAGCTGTGATCTGCCTCTCGGCTGCGATCTTGCTCGCCACTAAATCTGGCCATGATGTTCCAGCAGCTAATGCGGTAAAAGCTATAACATAAGGATGAATGCCTGTAGATAAAATATTATGTGGTGTTACGAAGTAATGCTGAAATATTCACATTCAATACCATGCCTTCACTATTCAAGTAAAAGCGAACCTGTGACACAGCTTATCATGTCTGTAAGCTTTGTAACAATGTAGGCTATCCCACTGATGAAAATCAAAGAGCAAATGAAAGCAACCCATCCATGTGTAATCTGGTAAGGAGGCACAAAAGCAAATAAAATCCTCCACGGTGCAAGGAGCAACTCCCAAAAAACCTTTGCTCCCCGTAGGCATATGTTATTCAATTTTCTCGATTCTGGACTCTCCAACTGCTCAAAATTGAAAGAAAAATTCAGTAAAAAATAGAAGAGCATTACAGAAAGCAAGACACACAGTCTGGAAGTTATACATGGTTGCACATGCTTGTTAATGAGTAAATGTGCACTTCTGACAGGTCGTCGGAGTTGGAAAGATATGCAGAATATGGCAGATCAAGTAGAAAACGGAAATGTGGACAGAGTATTATAGAGAGGTATAATTAGTACCACAAATGCATCAATAAACTGTTGTCTCCAGATTGAGAGAAAACTGTCCTTGTGAGGAGTAACTTCACCAGATTGGTCTGAGGATTCTGCAACATCAACATCAGGCAAGTTTCGATATGGATTGCCTGCAGGTAGCGATCAAAGGAAGCATTGAATGACTGACCGAATGAGTTAAATAACAGGGTAACAACAGAATACCAAATATAAAGATATTTTCTAACAATTGGAACCATAACTTGATTGCAAAAAAAACTCAATGCAGAAGATTGGCTTGATACCTTAATTGAGATTGTATATCAAATCTAAATTAGAATTGTACAACAATCTACATGGTTAAGTTACCAAAATGTGTTTCCTGCATGTCGAACTGTATAGCATAATGTCCTTGTAGTGAAACTTCATTAGTATAACAATCCCACTTGGACCAGAGTAGAAAGTCAAATAATTGGCAGTAATATAATGAAATTGCTTAAATTTTGCCAAAATAGTGTCAAAACAAGAAGCATTAGCATATCAATCTCAGCTTGTGATGTGGCAGCCCATATGTTAATTTGACCTAATGACTTGTCCATGTATGTTGAACACTTGCGGGAACACAACGATGTGCTTATAGAGACAGAAGCTAACATATCCAATCTAGGAGCGCCCATTTCTTTCAAGCTGCCCATAAAACGACAAAAATGGTATCCCCTAAAAACTGAATTTGAAATTAGAGAAAAATATGTTGTCCATTGGCAAATTTAACATAGCTAAGGGGCAGCAGCTCTACTCTCCATTATTACGTTAATCTAATAATGACATATTGGCGGTACCATCTGCTTGCAACATGGCATCAAATCTAAAGAATGGGCAAAGTAATGGAAATAAAGAATTGCATGATGATTAGAAATCATTCAAGGTACAGAGGTGTATAAATACAATTATCATAAAAAGAATAGGAGAAAAGGAAATATGGAGATTGAAAGCACAATGAACAAGTCAACAAAGTTCCATGAATGAGGATTACCTGTGTTAACACGATGAATGGAGAAAACATCAACAATAGTCGTGCTTCCATGTTCATCTTCAGGGCTTTCAGGATTATCATGACTCAATAGCGCATGTTTGCAAGGAACAGTTTCTTCTGGTACCCAATCATCAGGTCTCTCACAACTTGGTCTGATTCAAAATTTGTCACCAATTATATAATGGTCATGTGTGTACTTCTTCTAGGCCATGGAGTTGACCAATCGAAGTCCAGACCTTTCTTTGTTATGCATGGAGAAACAGGTATAAACTGAGAAAGTTAGCAATTAACCTACATTGGCAGAGACACATAGGGCCAACGCTTATCTTGAGCATAGGCATGTAGTAGCAACAGACCGTATTGCAGCACCGTCAATAAAGCTTCCCAGAGAGTAACAACATGTGGTGTCCACACCTACATAGTTATAAACCCCAAAGCAATTTATTTGTCAGCATAACATTGAAATGAAATTAACGAAAATGCAGTTGCTAAAGAACTGGTACATGGGTGGGTTTTTATTACAGTGACCCTTTAAAGATGAATGAGAATGTCTTGCAGTAATTGCAGTTGTGGATTAGAAAAAAATTCACCTCCAATATTATATACAGCCAAATGTAAGCCCAGAAGGACCAAAAGAGCTCGACAAGCCAGACTCCAATATCTGCTATTTTTTTTAGCTCTCCAGCTTTCGGAACCACAACACAAACAGCATGGATGGGAAATAAATCAAAGGCAGCAGAACCAACAAGTGTTCCAGGTCCTAAGCCTGTTGATAAAATTTGTAAAATGATTATTAGCCTTCATGTAAGAAATCAATGAAAAAAAACAAAAAAAAACAAAAAACTACTCTTAATTAATTCTAACATATCCAACTTTTACTCCACATCTCCCAATCACATGTCTTGATCCCACCGCTCAACATGTGATAAATGTTAGGTTCTGGTTACAAAATTATTTTTTTACATCATTAACAAACAACATGAAGATAGTTATAAATTTAGTTTTTTTGTAACTGGAGCTAAAAGAGTAGTATAATTTATAATTAGCATGATTGAATCTAATATTGACAGACAATTTCAAACATACAATATGAGAGAGAGAGAATACCTCCAGCGTATAAGTTTCCAATATTCCTTATGGCATCAATGGTGGCCAAAGATATCTGAGGAAAGCTCGTCCCAAATGCCAGCAGAGCAATGTCCGCTATGGCATAATTCCAAACCTTCTCATGCCTGATAACTTTGGTATTAGTAGAGGGGTCTATCTCCTCAACAGCTCGAGTATGCTTAACTACATTTTCCATAGACCGAAAGAACCGAGCAGTTATAGCTGACAACCCAATAAAACAGTAGGCGAGAGCCAGGAAATACAAGAAGCCTCGAAAACCATCATTAAGCTTAGTTTCTCCCTGGAAAAGCAAAAATAGCTCGCATTTTCCAGTGCCGGTGTGACCAAAAACCGAATCTCTGCTTCCAGCAGTATTATTAGTAAGATGGTCCATCGTAATAAAGCAATTCAAACCTCAAACCTCACCCATGAAACCAAAACGATGCTGCCAAACAAATGGTGCCTGTTAGAACCAAAATAACTTGGATAAACATCAGATGGTCCTAAGAACTTGTAATAACAGTATGGTAGCAGCATTTGATCATAAGAAAGAATTCGAAGTAAAAGTATGACACAACCTACACCATAATCTTTCATTCCAGATTGGTCAACCAACAAGTAAATAATGGATTCAATACCCAAAAAGTACAAGTACGAAATTTGTTTGAAATTTGTTTGAGGGGGTTGGATTTTGAGTTGGGATTTGAATAGTAAAAATTTGAATTTGAATAGTTGTATGATGTGATATAAATAGGTGTTGATGTGATGTCCCCAAACAAACACACCTAATAGATCAACAAACTCTAGAAACTGCATCAATAATTAAGAGAAACCAAAATTGTTTGAAAGAACAATTACTTCAATATTCAAAACCAAAATCACCAATCGATTCCCCTCCATCACACACCAATGAATCAAAATCTAAACCCCAGCTTCGCACATCTTTAACGAATATCAAAATAAAATAACAATTAGGCAAAAGAAAATGACAGACAAAATATCTCAAGTACAGCAATAATTCACTCAAATTCACAATCCAGACAAGCATAACCACACAGCAGAAGCTAAACGGTGCTCTCAGTTCACAAAACTACCACTAACTCGCAGCATGTATATGACTGACTATTCAATCATCTTTTAATCAAATCATGTACCCCTCCTCCCAAATTTCAGGTAAGCCTAAAATACAAGTGCAATTAAACTGTGGGGGAAACTAAGCTCACCGCTTCGGCGTCGAGATCTACGAACGCCACCAAAACAGCATAGGATTTGTGTAGTGTGGACCTGCAAATCAAATGTGCATGGTATCCAATTGAAATCCGCTCACAATTCTGCCTCGAATTTCCTGGATGATTTTCAAAGCTATGCCGATAATTTTTGTTTTGTTTTTTTTGTTGAGTTTCTTTTTATGGGTTTTTTTTTTCTTCTTTTTGAATACTATGTCAAATGGTTAACTAAAGAAAATTTCCACTTTTGTGACTAATTAGAATCATTTAATTTGATTAATATAAATTAATTTTATAAAAATATAAATTTCCCAAATATATTACTCCATTTTTCTCATATAATATAGGTGTATTAGTGTATATACAGGAATTTAGGTAAAATATAATTAATAAGTAATTAAAAAGTGTATTAGTAAAAATAATTATTATTTAGTAAAAATAATTATTATTTAGATTAAAATTAAGATAAGTAAATACTTTAATTAAAATTAAAAAAATTATAAAATTTAAAATTTAAAATTACGATTAAAGGGAATAATTATATTTTCAAAAATAGAAAGGACAAGTTATGTAAGATGGACGAAAATAAAAAATAGGGACAAATTATGTGGGACGGAGAGAGTATAAAATAAATTAATTTAATTTATATTTATTAAGTTGTTTTAAATTGCTAAGTTTTAACAAATATAAAAAAATATCCTTGACATTATTTGTTTACGGATCCACGGAGTATATTAAAATATTTGAAAAAAAAGAATACTACTTTGGTCCCTGTTAAATTGTTTTACATAAGGAAATAAAAATTTAAATAAAATATAATTAGAAGCTAATTAATAAAAAAAATATATGTTAATAAATATTATTATTATACATTAAAATAATATTAAATTAAAATTAGATAATTAAATAATTTAATTAAAATGATAAATTTAAAATATAATTTAAATATATAATTATACAAATCTTTTTCTATTTTTACTATAAAATAAAATTAGACGTCATTTGGTCTCCTCTGCCATCAAAATCTCTTGACACCACTTAGCATGATTTAAATGTTGACTTAATTTGGGTTTCACATTATTAAAACACAAACAAACAAAATAAGCCCATATGTGCTATCAATACTTGTTTGTTATTATTCGATTTTTAATATATACAAAATTTATTATATTCCCTCTGTTCCTATAACAAAGTATTTATTTTTTAATTTTAGTCCATCTCATAATAAAATATTTATTTATTTTAGTAATTGTATTATCTACCTAACAGTACAAATACCCTTATAACTTTAATCATTTCTATTTTATGCATACTATATCTCAATATAATACTAATATTTCTAAAACAACGTATAAAAATAGATACATAATTATGAGACGGAGAGAGTATTTTTTATAGTCAAAATATTATTGTATAATTTTTCTATTTTATATAAAATAAAAGTTTTTTAAACTAAAATATTAAAATAAGCATACAAACATTTAATTAATACTCTCAATAATTCTTCTTTACACAAAAAAAATAAAATAAAAAAGAAGAGGAGGAAGCCATATATGCTGTCAGTACAGTTGATACCTCCCTCCATAAATCTTCTTGCATTTGTGGGGTGTTTATTAAATTTGACTAAATTGCACAAAATTTACGCGTGGTTTCGTGAAATTGCGTAAAATCTTTTATATTTTTAAAACTGCGTCAAATTTTTTCGTGGTTTCATAAACTATGCGTCTAACCCTCTCGGCGGTTCTTATTTAACGGTATTTAACCTAAATGCAATAAATTTTAAAATTTCAAATTTATAAATCCCTAAAATTTCAAATATATTCATTTTTCTTATATTTAGCCTCAAAAAATAGTAAATATACTAAAAAAATAGTTATTTTTCTGAGATTCTAAGAATTTATTTTTACTATTTCATTAGGCTAAATATAAGAAAAATAAATATATTTGTAATTTTAGGGGTTTAAAAATTAAGATTATAAAATTTATTCACAGTTAATTTAGATTAATATCGTTAAATAAGGACTGTCGAGAGAGTTAGATGCAAAGTTTATGAAACTACGAGGGAATTTGACGCAGTTTTAGAAATACGAGAATTTTGCGCAATTTCGTGAAACCACAAGTGGATTTTGTGCAGTTTAGCTATTAAATTTTAATGTAAGGAGGGTTTGACAAATAATTTTTAAAAAAAACTTTTAGCTTAAATCATTTTTAATTGTTTGATAAATTACTTTTTTTTTTTTTTGAAAATAACTTGTTGAATTTAAAAAATTAATTTGTGAAAAATTATATAATCCAATTTTTCAAAAGAATATTTTCACTTTTACTTTTTTTTATTTTTTTGTCCTTAAAATTTATTATTTATTTCATATACATATAAATATATTTTGTATTGCAATAGTTATTATTTTATATATTTTATTTACTAAATTATAATTTTATTTTTATTAATTTTAAAATAATTAAATTTTATGTATAATCTATTTTATTTGTAAAACATATAAATTTGTTAAAATTAAAATATACTTTATTTATCCCAACTCAAAGTATTATTTTTATAATTGTCTATCTCACTCCAAAGTATTTGTGTGTTTGTTTGGGGGTTTGGATTTTGAATTGAGATTTGAATAGTAAAATTTTTAAATTGAAATAATTATATGATGTGATATAAATAGGTATTGATGTGATGTTTTGAATTTAATTGATTTTTAGTATAATTTAAAAAATAAAAAATAGGTATTTAATTTGATATTTTGTGGAAAAAAATTGGATGAATAGTAAATTTTTTGGGTAAAATCCCCCGAATAAACACACCCTTAAAGGAGATTAAAAAAGCTAATTATCTAATTTTGGTCCGATACCGACATTAAAAAAAATGAATATTCTATTAAAAATGGAGCAGTTGAAAATATTTTTTGAAATTTATTTAAAAATTAAAGTAAATGAAAAAAAGATAATGTAATAAAGTTTGTGGTATTTGTGGTAAATAAACGTTAAACTAGTGTATTAGTTAAAATTGATTTGATGACTTCGCCAAAATTAGTAAAGAGATAAATTTAGTATACGGACTAAAAAGAAAAGTGAGAATAAATTTGGCAAACGGATAAAGTATTTTTTATACTTTAATTTAAAATCTTTAAATATAATTAATAAAAAATTTAAATAAATTATAAAAGTTTTTTAGGAAAATACAATTATATTAACAACCTGTCATTTTGAGTAATTTTATTAATTTAAAAGCATTTTCAACTATATTATATCCAAACCGTTTTTTATGAAAAAAACTGATTTTATAACGATTAATTCAAATACAAAATCGAATTACTTCTACTTTTGACTCTTTCTGCTTTTGGCTTCTGATTTATTTCTTAAAACAATCGAAACGGACCCTTAATTATGTTTGTATTGATTTTTGCTTAAAAGCAAAAGCAGTTTTTTGGGCTCCAAAAGTGCTTCCCAAAAAGCAGAAGCAGTTTTATAATCTAAATTATTATTTTATTATTCATAATAATAGTAAAAGATTATATTATATATTATATTATATAAAAGTAAAAATAATTAATTTATATATTATATCCAAATTAGAATTTAATTATATTGTATTTTAATTATTAATTTATATATTATATTTTAGGGGAAAAAATCAATTTTAGTCTCAATATAATCAAACTTTATCAATTTTGGTCTCAATATAAAAAATTCATCAATTTGGTCCAATTATAAACAATTTCAATCAACTTGGTACAATTATAAACAATTTCAATCAATTTTGATCTCACCTTTAAAAAATTAACGGAAATTGATGAGGTTGACATAATAGAAGTGACGTGCAGCTGACCTGGAAACTACATGCATGGTCATGTTGTTACATGTACAATTATACACGACCATGTATAATCTACACGCCGTGTACCTTTCTGTTTTGGTCTAAAAAATTTTTTTGTTATATTTTTTATTTTTATTTTTTTGAATAATTGATATAGTTAAAATGGAAAAAAAAAATCAATAATAATCATAATATAATTAAAATGTATCAATTTTAGTTAAAATATAAATATTTATCGAGTATTTTCTTTTGGAAGATTTTGTCTAAATTCTACTGTTTACCAAAAAAATTTATCTTACAAACACCCAATTATTGTATTGAAATAATTTTTAATACTACTATAATATAAAAATTTAAAAATAGTTGTGTAATTTAATGCTTGTAAGAGGAAAGTGTGTTTTTTTTTTTTTTTTTTTTTTTTTTTTTTTTTTATGAAAATAGGATTTTAGACAAAATTTCTTATAAATTTTTATATTTGAATTAAAATTAATAAGTTTTAATTATATTATGATTAATATTGATTCTTAACTATATCAACTATTTTAAATTCAAAATATTTTTTGTCAAAAAAAATGTAACAAAAAATAAAATTTTAGACTAAAACAGAAATGTACACGGCCGTGTAAAATTATACATGATCGTGTAACAACATAGTCATGTATAATTATACATTGAAATATACATGACCGTATACTTTCCATGTCAACTGCCACGTCACCTCTGTTATGTCTACGTCAGCAATTTCCATTAGTTCTTTAACGATGAGACCAAAATTGATTTAAATTGTTTGTAACGGAACCAAAATTGATTGAAATTGTTTATAATATGACTAAAATTGATGAATTTTTTATATTTGAACCAAAATTGATAAATTTTAATTATATTATGACCAAAATAGATAAATTTTAATTATATTAGAACCAAAATTGATTTTTTTCCTATATTATGTATATGTTTTATTAAAATAATATTATTTTGATAATAATATAACTAAAATTTATCAATTTTAGTTCAAATATAAAAAAATTCATCAATTTTAGTCCTATTATAAATAATTTCAATCAATTTTGATCTCATAGTTAAAAAACCAATGAAAATCGCTGATATAGACATAACGAAGGTGACAAAATATAAATATATTTGACAAATATAAATCAACGTAATCACATTTTTACTGGTGAAAGTATCAAATTCATTCAAACATCTTTATTTATATTTATCTTCTCAATAAACAAATAATTTATTTACATAATGGATTGGATGTTGAATCACGTTGAAATATATTGAACACCTTAAAATATAATAATTCTTTAATTAAATTAATGATATAATTCAATGGTATAAATATAAGTATTATATTTAAAGCATTCAGAATGATCCAATTCAACATTGGATCCATCTTATTTATTTATATCCCTCTATTCCATAATAATGTATCCATTTGCTTTTTTACGAAATTTTAAAAATATTAACATTATATTGAAATATAGTAAAAATTAAAAAAAATGACTAAAACTAACCTTATTAATATTATATGATATAAAAGCAATAACATTTGTATAATATATTATAAATTATAAAAATATTTGTAATATTAAATAGAGAATACAATTACTTAAAATTTTTTTTTTTATTATATGACAAACTAAAATGAAAAAAAATTAATACTTTGTTCCAATATTTAAAACTACATATATTTTTTTTATAAATTTAATTTATATTAAGTACAAATAAAATTATATTACACAAAATTTTATTCACTATCAAAAATATTCATATTATGTATATATTTTATTAAAATAATAGTGTTTAAAATATTTAAACACCTATTTTAAATTTATTCTAATCATAATTGATTATTTATTTTAAAAATAATAGCAATACCAATTATATAAAAAAAATAATATTATAATTCTTATAATTAAATTAGTAGATAATTAAGAATTTATTAGTGAAAATAATTATCCTATAATATAAATAATTATAAATTAAGATTAAAATAACTAATTAGTTTAATTAAAATTTTAAAAAAAATAAAAAAATTAAAATGAGATTAATGCAATCATTTTAAAAAAAAAAGTGACAAAAACGGCAACATAGACATAGGAGAGAGAGAGGATGCACCTTTTTTCCTAGAACCCTCGGCCGCTATCCGAAAGTGCAAGTGCCGGCCGAACTTAATAATCTTAAGAGTTTTGACACTACAGTATTTAATTTTTTAAAAATATCGCCTCAAATATTTTATTTTTTTCATAAAATACCACATCAATTAATCCTTTTTACTATTTTCAAAACTCCAAAACTTCCAAAATCTCATATCTAAAGAGAGACCCAATCAAGATCTTGATATGCATTTCCAACACTTCAACTGGGAAAATAGCTAAAGAAACTAGCAGTTAATAAACACTGCAATGCAGTCCACCATTGCAGGCACATATTAAACTAGAGATCGACTACTCCCGGAATGATAAGCACGCCATATTAAGTTATACCAAGTCAAAACAAAACTGCAAAACATTTGATTGGGAAGTCGAGAAAATTTTGGATGATAACAATGACAAACGGATCGAGAATTCAAACAAAGTCGAGATAAACTGAAAAGAGAAGTGAACCTGACCGGGTAGGGGAGTTAGTCTTCTTCCTCCCCTTCTTGCTCTGCGATGTTGAAGTAGCGCAGTTCGTAGACATTCCTGTCCTTGTTCGAAGCAATCACACGAAGCCAATCCCTCACATTGTGCTTTTTCAAATACTTTTTCGTCAAATACTTGAGATACCTGAAATAATGATGCATCAGCTTTTATAGAAATTATAATTACATTAGAAAAACGACTAGGAATTATAGAACTCGAAGGAATATGATAACGTGGGTGAATTATTGTATAATTCGCCAACATGAATACATTCTTCAATTAGAGAACATTTTTTCACGTATCCGATAGTGCCCTTTAGTAATGTGCAATAATTAGACCCTACCTAACTGCTTAAAAAGTTCATCTTGCAATTTCAACACAACAGAAAACAAGATCAAATAAACAATGGTGTAGTAACATTATTACAAGATCAAATAAACAATGGTGTAGTAACATTATTACAAGATCAATCTACCATTCAAAACCAAAACAAGCAGATCCTTCAGTGATTGTAAGTGTAAAACTCTACCGATCAAGAATTTCACGAGACAAACCAGCCAATTAGCATATCATACACACATTGTTCTTACCTATCATTCAAAACCAAAACAAGCAGATCCTTCAGTGATTGTAAGGGTAAAACTTTACCGATCACGAGACAAACCAGCCAATTAGCATATCATAAAAACATTGTTCTTACCTAGACCAAATCTGCATAGACAAGTTCTAGTAGCAAAGAATTACTGAGAGCAATGAACTGGTAACAAATACAAACCCATGTAACTTACATCTAACAGCATTTTATAAACCCATTCCTATAATTGATTCTTATTTATATATGATTGCTGGAACCAATTTGATTACAACCACCAACTACATAATTTTAGGAACAGTATGCTTCAACAACGCACAATTGTAATGGATCAGAACCAGCTCACAATGAAACAAAATTCAACGTTATGCATAGGCTAAAAAAAATCCAGCAAATCACCTCTTGGAGAAAGCAGAATCTGCGGTGACGGTGATCTTGTTCTTATCACGAGTGACGGTGACGGAATCTCCAAGCGCGCCGGCTTTCCCCCCGACCTTAATCCTCTCCTGCAAGAACTTCTCAAGCGAAGCAATTTCCATAATCTTATCCTCAACCGGCTTCGAACAATCGACCACGAAGACCACTCCCTTCTTCTTCCCGCCTTTCGCTACTGCCGCGGCCGCACCTTTACTCATCTTCGCTCCTTCACTACAAGCTTATCACCAGATCCAAATACAATTTTCAATACAACGTTCCAAAAACATACGCACACAAATTCTGATTAACAATTAACTTCAAAACGTAGCAGATCTTACTGTAATACCTTCGACGGTCGTTTGTGAGAACTCAGAGCAAAGATCGCGCCGAACGAATAACAGATGAAAGATGGAGGACGCCGCTCTAGGGTTTTGGCTTAAGCTAAAACAGGTTTATTTCTCGGATGGGTTTTATCTGATGCGCCCAACACGAGACGCTTATCGTGGACTCGCAATTTGAACTTGGGCTTTCAAACCGTATATTTTGAAAAGCCCAAAATAGATCAGCTAATTTGGGCTTGTAATTATAAGGGTGTGTTTGTTTGGCAAATTTTTTTGTAGGATTTTTACTGTTTACTAGTATTTTTTTTATTCCAAAAATATTAAAATAAATACTTATTTTTTATTTTTATATTATAATAAAAAATAATTATACATTCAAAATATTACATCAATACATATTTCAATTCAAAATTTATACTATTTAAATATCTGAAAATTCAAACCCCAAAACAAATGCATGTTATTTAAGGGTCGCAATTTTATGCATGTTTGTATTTTTAATTTTTTTTCCTTAACGTCTTCTTTTTGTGATTTAATTGTTAAATGATATTTTTTAGTATAAAAAAATATCCTTCGTCCCATAATTATGTATTCATTTGTTCTTTACACGGGATTTTAGAAATATTAGTATTATATTGGGTTGCAGTAAAAATAAAATATAAATGACTAAAATAATTTTATTAGTATTGTGTGATATAAAAGTAATATATTTTGCGTAGTATATTGTAAGTTGTAAGGGTATTTGTAATGTTAAGTAAATAGTACAATTACTAAAAAGACAGACTAAAATAAAAAAATAGGTACTTTGTTATAGAACAGAGGAAAATATTATAGATTTTTACTGTCATCTAAATTTGTATTAACTTTTTTTTTTCTATTGTTTAAATTTTGTTTTTTTTTTTAATATAATAGTATGTATATTAGTTTTTTTTTTTTTTACTATGAAAATAACAAGAATAACAAAAAATATATGCTTAAAAATTTAAACACATTTAAGATATTTTTATATAAATATTATATTAAATACTTTCTCCTTTAACTATTATACCTTTTATAATAAATATTTTTATAAGGGGAAAGTATTTAATATAATATTCATAAAATAAGTATAAAAATATTTATTATAAAAAGTATAATAGTTAAAGGAGAAAGTATTTAATATAATATTTATATAAAAATATCTTAAATGTGTTTAAATTTTTAAGCACATATTTTAAAGTAAGCATATATTTTTTGTTATTCTTGTTATTTTCATAGTAAAAAAATATAAAAAATTATATACATATATTTTATTAAAAAAATATATTCAAACCCCAAAACCAAACACATGTTATTTAGGCGTCGCAATTTTATGCATGTTTGTATTTTTATTTTTATTTTTTTTCTTAAAGTCTTTTGTGATTTAATTGTTAAATGATATTTTTGAGTATAAAAAAAACAGTATAGATTTTTACTGTCATCTAAATTTGTATCAACTTTTTTTTCTTTTTTCTATTGTTTAAATTTTGTTTTTTTTTAATTATGTATTTGTATATAATTTTTAATTTATTTTTACTATAAAAATAACAAGAATAATAAAAAATATACACTTAATTTAAAATATGTTATTAAAAATTTACACACATTTTTAGATAAAAGAGAAAGTATTTAATATAATATTTATATAAAAATATTTTAAAGATATATATTTTAAATTAGAAAATATATATTGCAATGAGCTCAATGTAAAAGTTTCTTGTTAATGTTACTCCCTCGTCAACTATAATTATGTCCGATTTTTTTATTGTTCATTAAATTTACGCATAATCTATTTATATTACGTAATTTTATTCACTAAAATAATTCTATCTTAATTTTATAAAAGTAAATTAATATTAACTATGATATTTTTAAAAGATACTATTGATAAATAAAGTCTCGAAGTTTAACATTTGAATTTTTTCTTATAACTTTGTTACGTACAAAAAATAATAATAATAAAAATAATGGTGGCAGGGTCTTGAAGGAAGGTAGGACTCGAAGTCGGGCAGAAAAGTAGAAAAATTTGCGCTCAGGTCGGTTGGTTAGCGGGTCGGATGGTCCATAGGTCGGAAAGTCTGTAGGTCGGTTGGTCCACAGGTCAGAAGGTCTGCGGTCGGAAGGTCTGCGGTCGGGTAGTCAAGTCGGTCAGTTAGCAGGTCGGATGGTCCATAGGTCGGAAAGTCTGCAGGTCGGTTGGTCAGCAGGTCGGATAGTCAGGTCGGAAGGTCTGCGATCGGGTAGTCAGGTCAGTTGGTCAGAAGTCGGACCAAGTAAAGTCGGCTGCTACGGAGGTCGGGCGAAGTAAGGTCTGGTAATTAATTGCCCACTTAAGTGAACAGTAGTTTGGTCGCTTGGTGGGGGCGGCCAAGGAGTCTTTTGGTCTGGCGATCATCAGTTAGTCTCTGATTTAGTCGGATGGGTATGCGGTTGGCCAGACGGGTGAAGACACGTGTCAATAAAGGAGGTGGGCGGTTGCTGTAACTGACCAGGCGACGTTTCAAAACGTTTCTAGTGAGCGGTTGCTGTAACCAACTAGGCGACGGTTCCAAGCGTTTTCTTCAAGAAATATTTAAGGATTTGGATTTTTCTGGGCATTTTCAATCAATTTCAAGAAAGCAAAGTCATATTTGGGGATCACCACTTTAAATTATTTTCAGCATTTTATTTTCCAGTTAATTTCTTTATGTACCGTACATGTATAGAAATTCCTAATCTCAGGCACTAATTAATCAAGTTTAAAGATATTTTCCATATATTTGAATTTTACTTTTTGTTTGTTGAAAAAATACATCAACAAACTTATATTATACTCTCTCCGTCCAACTAAAATATATATATATTTCTATTTTGGGACGTTCAATTACAAAGTAACTATTTCATTAAATACCTCTCATTTTTTTCATAAATACTTTTACTGTATATCACATTATTACTTTTATATTAAAAAGTAAAAGCAAAAATATCACTACACAATTTTTACCTACCAACTATAATTAAAATACTATTATTTCTTAAATTCTGCGCCAAAAATAAATATATACTTATTATTTGAATAAAGAAAATATTATATATTCCATCCGTCCAGAAATTATATGGATATGCTTGGTTACAAAAATAAAAATAAAAATATTATTTTAATATTGAATTTCGATAATAAAGATAATTAAATAAATAGAAAAATAAATAGTGGTAAGATTAATTTTATTTATTAAGGTACGACAATAAAATTTGAATGGATCATGTATTTTATGAAGTTTAGTAGATAATAGGAAAAATAAATAAATAAATGATATGGTGTGTTCCATTTGTAGAAAAAATATATATATATATACATTTTTTAAAAAAATTAATATATTATAAATATTTATTATTTTTTTTTGGTAAAATTGCTCATAATTTTTATGTGATTTCGAAATTCTGCTTAAAATCTCTCTATACTTTAAAAATTACATGATATTCCCCTATACTTTCAAAACCATTGCATGAAACCCCACCCCTATTAAACCTCCGTTATGTGATGAGAAGATGATTTCATATCCATATTTTTTGCACGGTGGGGGTTTACATGCAATATTTTTGAAAGTATAAGGAAGCGACATGTAACTTTTTTAAATAAAGTGAAAATTTACATTGAGTTTCGAAATCATATAGAGGTTTCATGCAACATCTTTTAAAATATAAGAGGGTTCCATACAATTTTTAAAGTAAAAGGGGATTTACGTTGAGTTTCGAAACCACAAGGAGTTATGAACAATTTTCTCTTATTTTTATTTATCCCATCAAATTATTTTACAAAATAAACATACAATTATGAACAAAATGCATATGTATATATATTAGAAAATTTAGTTATTTTAGTTTGAATTTTTCAATGAAATTTAATTTTAAAAATATTTCGATATAATATTTTTTTAATAAATAATAACGGGTATTAATGCAAAAAAAAGTTATTTATATCTTTATGCTTTGTATAATGATAGCATTGAAATTGTATATGATTAATAATATAACCTTTTGATTAAAATAGAATGAGTATAAGAAATAAATAGACTTATCAATAACAATGTAAATAAGTAGAAAACTAGTGGGTAAAATAAATTTTAAAAAACTATTTTCATTAAATATGATATCAACATATTATTGATAGCTAAACTAAAATAATAAAACAAGTGTACTGTTTTACAAACTAAAATAAGTATATTTTTATCATAAATTTTATGTTTGTTTTTGTTGTGGTTTGTAATTAATTTAAACATAGGTAAATAGTTTTTTTAGTCCGTAATTGGACCACTTTATCATTTTAGTCTCGTAAGTGGAGCATGTCGCAAACTAATCACATAAGTAAAAAAAATTTGTTTTCTTAATCCTCCGGCGCCGGAGACGCCTGCGTGACTCGCCGGAGGCCAACCTGACGGACACGTGGATTTTTTATTTTAATTTTTTCATTTTCTATTATTTTTATTATTATTATTTTATTATTTCTTATTTTTTTCAACTGGAACAATAAAAGAAATAAAAAGGGCAACTAAAATTAAAAAACATTGAAAAAAATATATAAAATCCACGTGTCCATCAGGTGTCACTGAACTGGCAGACACGTGGCCGCCGACGAACCACGCTGGCGTCTCTGGCATTGGAGGACTAAAACAGCGAAAATTTTCCACTTATGGGACTAGTTTGCTACAGGTTCCACTTACTAGACTAAAATGATAAAGAGGTTAGTTACGGAATTAAAAAATAGTTTACCTTTTAAACATAATATTGGTTTTGAATTTTTATTTAAAATAATATTTTGACATAATTTTATGTAAAATGAAATATTCTATTGATCCTATAAAAAATAATACATTTTTCATTTTATTTTGTAATAAATGGCATCTCTTTTATATTTAGGGTGTGTTCGGTTGAGAGATTTGGACAAAATCTCACTATTTATCCAAAAATTTTTCCCAAAAAACATCAAATCAAACACCTATTTTTTATTTTTTATATTATACTAAAAATCAATTTTACATTCAAAACATCACATCAACACTTATTTATATCATATCGCATCATACAACTATTCAAATTAAAAAATTTTACTATTCAAATCTCAACTCAAAATCCAAACCCC